TTTTTTCCTTGAAAATTTGCAGTGACATGCCGAGTTCCAATACGCAGGGCACCTCTTGGCCGGATTTTTTAAATTGGTCAAGGGGGCCATTTAAGACGCCATTTTGTCCTATACATCTATTTTACATCACGTGTTTCGATAGGATTATCATAGAAAAAAAGAGAGTGGTTTACAATAACAACCATGAAATTCTCTTTCTAATGATACCAAATACGGCCCATAAAGAGACGTAAAGAGAGAGAGAAAAAACAATTTAACTCCGGCCATAATACAGATCCTGCACGTTTTCCGCCCATTCATTACACGCATTGTCTATGGGGCATATCGGGTTCACGCTTTTGGCCCCCAGAACGAACTTGATTGCAATGTCAAACATGCACCAAATCCCATTGGTTTGTGCACGCAGTGCTTGCGAGCCCTTTCTAGGTTCTTTCCCCTATCCCAATTTCTTTCAAACTTCGTAGGCATAGTACCATCCCATCAAGGTCACTGTTGATGCCTTTCTTTCGCCCTACCTATCTCCAATATCACAGAAGCTACAGACTTCGTGCAAATTGCTCTGGATAGTCCGAGAGAAGCTCTTTCGTTTGACACGTAGAAACACGGCGTCATTGCACGCACATCGTTCCGACACGATTGCATTTCTAGTATTCTTCTTCTTCTTTGTAGAAAATCGCATTCGTTTTGCACATAGTGTTTGTTATTCCTAGTTAGGTGCTTTTCTCATGTTCATTTTCGTTCAAATTTCATAGGCATGGTCTCTAGCATCTCATCAAGGTAACCTAATTTTTCGATTTTCGAAATCACTCATGCATAACCATCCAGGCGCCATTTTGTCCGTTTCTGGTCCATTTTTAGGCCTTTCTCTCTTCCTTCCTATCTTCACTATCCTAGATCCTACAAACTTCTTACAAATTCCTTTAGATAGTCTGAGAGATGTTCTTTCATCTGCGACGTATAACTTGACCTTCAAAATGCCATCTTCGTACTCAAAATTAACATCCAAAACCGACTCCGTTAAAAATCTTTAAAATTCTTGAAAAGTGGACCCCTACAAATCTAAAACTGCCATAACTTTCTCATATAAATTCCGTTTTGTATTTAAATCTTACAGTATCTTTATCTTATATTTGCACATAGCCATGCCAAATTTCACGCTCCAATGGCTACGCACAAAATAAATAGCGCCCTCTAAAGTTCTGGGAATTGGCTTTCTTTCTGTGGCCGTATCTCCATTATGGCTTGGCAGACCCGTACCCTTTTTTGGATTTAGATACCCGAAGATATCCCCTTTTAAGCCTTATACGAAATTATATACACTATCTTTGACCAAATTTGAGAAAATTGCTTTCCATATTCGCCATTTTCAAGAAAATTACGAAATTAGTTCAACTTGCTCTGAAATTGCGATCATTATACCTACAATGAAACTTAGCAGACACATGTTTCAATATACGTGACAACTGTCTGCCAAGTTTGGTAAATTTCAATGACGTCAGCGCAAAGTTATCGCTAAAAATGATGAATTTACTATGCACTACGTAATAGCGCGTTTAATGCGTGCAATACATTGCAAACCTTTTACACTCGTTAAAAGGATCGTTTAACAATGTTAAATCTGAGATACACGGCCCTACGTGTTATCAGTGTCTGTGATATGGTGTAATATTGAAGCCTTAAAAAAAAATGCGCTTCAAAATGATCAAGAAGTGCCTCAAAAAAGTAAAAATCTTTGAGTGACCGGTTTTACCATACTCGTTTGTAGTGTTATGAAAACCGTCAGGCGAACGGTTTTCAAAATTTGTAATTCCAATCATAAATATCTTGATAATCAGACAGGCGATCGGCTTGTAAAAGTCATAGGGTTCCTGACTGACCTAAAGATTTATAATTATCATTGGATCATGAGCTAAATCTAGAATTTTATTTCAGAATCTGAGACAAAGTTACCGGATCCCCTTAAATAATTTTGCATTTTCCGTCATTGGAATAAGTGAGACATGGTTACATCAGAATTCTCCAGATATGTTCAATTTGCCTAATTATAAGTTGATTAGGGCGGACCGCAAAGGAAGAAGAGGTGGCGGTGTTGCGTTTTATATTACACAAAACATAAACTTCAAAATCCGTTCAGATATTAAACTAACACAAGCAGAATCTTTATTTATCGAAATTGATAACTCAAATGCCAAAAATGTCATCATAGGTTTGATTTATAGACCCCTGATTCTCATTGTGATTTATTCTGTGACGAACTGGATTTTTATCTTCATAAAATAGGGGATGAAAATAAAAACAATTTTATCCTTGGTGACTTTAACATCAACTTCTCACCCTCATCTGATAACAGTAACTCAACCAATTGTCCGCAGTTGATGCATTCATACGGCTTTTTTCGATTATTAATAAACCCACCAGAATAAATCCACATTCATCAACTCAGATTGACAATATTTTTTCAAACGTACATAACAACAAAACCATCGGTGGAATATTGTGTTTTGAAGTGTCGGATCACCTACCCATATTTTTAACTTGTGAATGCAAACTATCTGGCCGTAAATCATTTGATAAACATATGAACATATAAACAAAAGCATATAAACATTTTAGTAACAATTTGCAATATTATTATGAAAAGAATATTCCTTTAGGCAAAATGAGTAATAAGCGAAATAAACCCAGGAATCCTTGGATAACGAAAAGGTTTATTGAAATCAATACAAACACGCAATCGCCTCTACAAATTACATTTACACAATCCAACTGACACTAACCTAAACACATATAAAATTTATCGAAACAAATTAACAAAACTTATCCGTACATCCCGTAGATTGCATTTTTCTAATAAAATAAAAAAGGCCAATTCAAACACAACTGCAACTTGGAAAATTATCAAAGAGGTAATGGGAAAAAAACGAATCCCCCACCCACGGATAATATCACATTAAATGGCACTAAAATACATGATCCTAGTCTTCATGCAAATTCATTTAACTCATTTTTTACGAATATCGGCCCTGAACTCGCCAGCAAAATTAATAGAACTCACGCTCACTTTAAAGACTATCTTTCCAATCAAAACCAAGAGTCTCTCTTTTTAAATCCGACAAATCCTAGCGAAATTATTAACATTACCCAATCTCTTAACAACTCAAAATCGCACGGTTTTGATAAAATAAGTATGTCTCTCCTAAAAGAAATAATGTATCCACTTGCAAAGCCTTTAACTCACATATTTAATCACTCGTTAACGCAAGGTGTTTTCCCTGATCTATTAAAACTAGCTACAGTCAACCCCATTCTCAAAAAAGATGATCCTCACGAAATTAGTAACTATCGTCCAATTTCCCTACTTCCAATTATATCCAAAGTCTTAGAAAAGATCGTTCATAATAGGCTACACAAATTTATCACTAAACACAAAATACTCAATTCAAATCAATATGGCTTCAGAAAAAATTACTCAACTGACTTAGCATTAATTCAAATTTATGACAAAATTACAAGTGCCATAGCTAACAAAGAGCATGTTATAGGTATATTCTGTGACTTGAGTAAAGCATTTGATACGCTCAATCACGCTATTCTACTCTCCAAACTCAGTCATTATGGAATTCGGGGTCAGCCACTCTTATGGTTTAAAGATTATTTAACAAACAGAAGACAATATGTTACATTTAATAGTTATGATTCTGATCCTCTTTTAATTCAATGCGGTGTTCCTCAAGGCTCCATCTTAGGTCCACTGTTATTTCTTCTTTATGTAAATGATATTATCAATACATCCCCATTCTTTCTTTTATCTTATTTGCCGATGATACAAATATCTTTTATTCCCATAAAGACCTTAATTCGTTAAACAATACTTTGAATTATGAAATTAACAAAGTATCAGATTGGTTTAAATCCAATAAACTTTCACTTAATACAAAAAAGACTAATTTCATGTATTTTAAACATCATTCTCATAATACAGAAACACCTATATATATTAAAATCGATGGTATGCTACTAGAAAAGAAAACTTATCCCAAGTTTTTGGGTGTTCTTATAGATGAAACCTTGACTTGGAATGATCATTTACACCAAGTTACAATGTGCATTTCCAAAAGTATTGGAATAATCTCCAAGTTAAAGTTTCTTCTACCCCATGCAACCTTATTCCTACTATATAATTCGCTAGTTCTCCCGTATATAACATATTGTAATAGTGTATGGTCAAATTGTGGTTCGACAAAAATTAATTCTATTTTCAAACTGCAAAAGAAAGCCATACGTATTTGTACAGGTTCGCATTTCTTAGCTCACACTGATCCTTTATTCTATAAACTTAAAACACTAAAAAAAAATTCGATCTGAACACAACTCAAGTAGCAGTGATTATGTTTAAGTACATTAATAATCTGCTTCCACCATCCTTTGATAACATGTTTAGGTTTAATAATTCCGTTCATTCATACTCAACTCGCATATCTGGAAACTTCCATCTTACAAACCCCAAATTATCAATAACACACAAATCTGTTCGACATTCTGGCCCAGACATTTGGAATGATTTACCCGACAACATAAAGTCTTGTTCAACCATCTACTCCTTAAAAGCTACACTTAAACGACAAATAATACAATCATATCCTCCCCTCTCTTTAAATTAGTATAACAAAACCGTGACTTATTTATTCTTTATCATGCAACTGCTCACTGCACCTGCACTTGCACCGCACCCTCTTGATCACTCAGTTTTTCGAAGAGAGTTATGTCGCCAATTCTTTTTACGAGGCCGCCATCCATCTCCAGCCTAACCGCTCACGATGGTGGTCTCCTGCGTTCCAAATTACCTCTCTAATTTATTGAAAATATTTCATATTTCTTATGTTATTGTATGCTTCGTACATGTTTATCGAATGATATAATTGTACATGATTTTTCATTTAATTACTTTTGTAAACATTGTATTCATTGTATTTGTTATTGTTCGAAATTTTGTACTTTGACTTTGAATTTGTATATTTTTGAACGCAGAAATAAAATCAATCAAACAAACAAACAAACCTATATTTACACCTAATTGAAACTATTTGAGCATGACATATTACAAGTTCAACAAACAGACACCCGTTATGTCGAACCAACTTCCTAACCAGCAACAGGACAAAGCAGCTCTAGGAAACCCTCGAAAACAAGTAATTTTTCCTGGACAGGCAAACTTCACTACAAGTGAATGTTCTTGTATCTTTGTTCAATAATTGCTCTCCAGGTCTGTATTGGGGGCTTATCCCAAATCGCATAGTGGTCTCGAGCTCCCAATGGAGCCACTTGTTTCTCATGTCCATGTCTAGTCTGAAACCAAGATATTATATCCGTCATCTTCATCCCTAATGTCTGTAAGAGCATACCACAATAAACATCGTCCCAGGGTATCGGTGCAGCCGTCTTCTGAGAGGCACAATAGATATCATGGGCAACATCTATGGAGAGGATATACGCGTATCCTCGAGGAAAAGGAGGCCATGTCTTCTTCGAATAGAATTCATATGGAGTATACCACTTATCTCCAGGATCCCGCATAGGTTTCCAGCCAAATGTAGGCTCGGCTAACACAAACTTTGAAAGAACGACATTTGCTTCGAGGTCGCTGACGAGGTTAACGATGTCCAGAGTGACATCGTCATCTATTGACATTACATAATTACTATTTTTACAGAATGTGGATGCCCATTTGGCGGCCATGATGAGTTTAGTGGTTAGATTGTAGTAGCTATCAATAAAGTCCTCTTGTAGAATATCTCCGTGAATATCAGCCTCACTTTGCAGCTGAGCTTGCAGAGTTGAATTATAGTCCCCGGAGATTCCAGTAAGGAATAAAATCTTCGCAGAAACATTGTACTTCACCACTCCCGCGCCGTATGTTTCTCTGATGACATTCCTCTGTTTTACACCACTCATTCTAGTCATTACGCATATAAGCAAGGTGATGCTTTCCGATTTCTTGCATCCATTCTCCGGGTTGATGAGATAGCGATACTCATGCTGGTCTAATTTGGACTCCCATTGAACATTCCGTCTCCAACCAAGCAGCTTCTCTTTTTCATGTAGCTTTTTTTCACTTCCGAATGCGTTTCGGTCAGAGTAATCTTTACTTCATGCTGCTTTTTTTCTTCTCAGAATGCGCTTTGATCAGAGTAATCTTAAAGTCATGAAGCTTGTTTTCTTCTTCAGAAAGCATTTTGAAGTTCCTGTAGTAATTGAGAAAGATAAATGCAGAAAACACTAAACACATACGGAAGAATATCTTCTTAATGGACCGCATGTTGACGAAAGACGAATTATGAGATGATACGGGGAGTCGAAAGTATGTTTTGGAGCGAAGGTAGGCGCCAGTGAATATTATAAACCTCATACATAGATTGTCATTCACTGATTGGTCAAAACTCTATCACATGACAAGGAGCATTTCGATCTATCATTGCGTCAGAGGTTTTGATAGTACTCCTAACCCCTCCGCGACTTTTGCACACACACACAGCTAAGCGTACAAGATTTCAAATGCGCGCTCAAGCTAGGCCGCAGTAACTGCATTACCTGTGAGCATACAGTATAGATTGGATTTCCGTATGTTGGATATCTTTTAGCGTTGGTAAATATATTACTGTGATGAGCAGTGGCGGATCCGGGGGGGGGGGGGGGGTCCGCCCCTGGACCCCAGGCCGATTCGTGACCTGCCAGGGTCACAAATAAGGTATAAAAATATGCTCATCTGACCGTAATGTATTGCCAAAACCCCTGAGCTTCTGGGGGCTCTGACCCCTGGATCCCAGGCCAATTTGTGAACTACCAGTGTCATAAATAAGTTATAAAATTAGTGATTGAGGCAACCATGACTTGTAATCAGCAAACAGTGTGAAATAAATATTGTCTATACATCTAACTCGACTGTACCCGTAATATTCAGGGTGACACATAATACAAACATCAATCGGAACACTACGCCCCCCCCCCCTTCCCCATATCGAAACGTTTTTTGCAATGACGACCTTCGTCATTGCCTTGTTTTCGTTCACATTATTAATATTTGCAATGACGACCTTCGTCATTGCCTTGTTTTCGTTCACATTCTGCCCCATTAATATTCTCCTGGTTTTCCTTATCGTCCAGAAATCCCATTCGTTTTGCACGTAGTGCTTGTTATTCCTAGTTCCTTTTCCTTTCAAATTTCGAAGTCATCATCTCTAGCATCTCATCAAGGTCACTACATTCTTTGATTTTCGAAATCACTCATGCATAACAGTCAAGGCGCCATTTTATCCGTTTCTGATTCATTTTAAGGCCTTTCTATCTTCCTTCCTATCTCCACTACCCTAGATCCTACAAACTTCTAACAAATTCCTCTAGATGGTCTAAGAGATGTTCTTTCATCTACGACGTATAACCTGCCCTTCAAAATGCCATCTTCATACTCAAAATTCAAATCTGAAACCGATTCCGTCAAAAATCTCTCAAATTCTTGAAAAATGGACCCCTAAATAATCTAAAACAGCCATAACTTTCTCATATAAATTCCGCTTTGTGTTTAAATCTCACATTATCCTTATCTCATAATTGCTAATAGCCATGCTAAGTTTCATGCTCCAATGACTATGCAAAACATAAATAGCGCCCTCTAAAGTTCTGGGAATTAGCTTTCTTTCTGTTGCAGTATCTCCATTATGGCTTGGCAGACCCGTACCCTTTTTTAGATTTAGATACTTGAAGATATGCCCTTTCCAGCAATATACAAAATTGTATACCCTATCACTGACCAAATTTGAGAAAATTACCCTCCTAATTCGCCATTTTCAAGAAAATTCCGAAGTAACTTCAACTTGCTCTAAAATAGCGATTGTTATACCTACATCAATGAAACTTGGCAGAAACATGTATCCATATACGTGACAACTGTTCAATAATTTTAGTAAAATTCGAATATGTCAGCGCAAAGTTATCGCCCAAAATGATGAATTTACTATGCATTACGTAAAAGCTTATTTTGTGCGTGCAATACATTGCGCGCAAATGACAATGGTGTCGAACTGACCGCAATGACGTGCCCTTTCGAATGATACCAAGTAAAGTATATGTTTACATAGAAAATTGTGAATAAATCGCATTTGAACAAAGGTCACTATACGAATTCCGCCGAGTTTCCGCCCGAATCTAACACGTATCGGCTAGGACGTCATTTTTTCAGACTGCTTTTCGCCCCTTAAATGTCCTTTTTTTTCCTTGAACATTTGCAGTGGCATACCGAGTTCCAATACGCAGGGCACCTCTTGGCCGGATTTTTGAAATTGGTCAAGGGGGCCATTCAAGACGCCATTTTGTTCTATAAATCTATTTTGCATCATGTGTTTCGATAGGATCATCATAGAAAAAAGGAGAGTAGTTTACAATAACAACCATAAAATTCTCTTTCTAATGATACCAAATACGGCCCATAAAGAGACATAAAGAGAGAGAGAGAAAAAACAATTTAACTCCGGTCATAATACAGATCATGTACGTTTTCCGCCCATGCATTACACGCATTGTCTATTGGGCATATCGGGTTCATGCTTTTGACCCCCATAACGATCTTTATTGCAATGACGAACATGCACCAAATCCCCTTGGTTTTTGCACGCAGTGCTTGCGAGCCCTTTCTACGTTCTTTCCCCTACCCCAATTTCTTTCAAATTTCGTAGGCATAGTCACTACCATCCCATCAACGTCACTGTTGAGGCCTTTCTTTCGCCCTACCTATATCAGAGAAGCTACATATTTCGTACAAATTGCTCTGGATATAGTCCGAGAGAAGCTCTTTCGTTTGACACGTAGAAACATGGCGTCATTGCACGCACATCGTTGTGACACGATTGCATTTCTAGTTGCATTGACGACCTTCGTCATTGCCTTGTTTTCGTTCACATTATTAATATTCTTACTTCTTTGCAATGACGAACCTTCGTCATTGCCTTGTTTTCGTTCACATTCTGCCCCATTAATATTCTCCTTAGTATATTCCTTATCGTCCGGAAATCACATTCGTTTTGCACGTAGTGCTTGTTATTCCCAGTTAGGTGCCTTCATCATATCCATTTCCTTCCAAATTTCGTAGGCATCATCTCTAGCATCTCATCAAGGTCACCTACTTTTTCGATTTTCGAAATCACTCATGCATGACCGTCCAGGCGCCATTTTGTCCGTTTCTGGTCCATTTTAAGGCCTTTATATCTTCCTTCCTATCTCCAATATCCTAGATCCTACAAACTTCTAACAAATTTCTCTAGATAGTCTGAGAGATGTTCTTTCATCTGCGACACATAACCTGCCCTTCAAAATGCCATCTTCATACTCGAAATTCAAATCTAAAACCGACTCCGTCAAAAATCTCTCAAGTTCTTGAAAAATGGACCCCTAAATAATCTAAAACTGCCATAACTTTCTCATATAAATTCCGTTTTGTATTTAAATCTCACAGTATCTTTATCTTATAATTGCACATAGCCATGCCAAATTTCACGCTTCAATGGCTTTGCACAACATAAATAGCGCCCTCTAAAGTTCTGGGAATTGGCTTTCTCTCTGTGGCCGTATCTCCATAATGGCTTGGCAAACCCGTACCCTTTTTTGGATTTAGATACTTGAAGATATGCCCTTTCCAGCCATATACAAAATTATATACCCTATCACTGACCAAATTTGAGAAAATTGCCCTCCAAATTCGCCATTTTCAAGAAAATTGAGAAATAACTTCAACTTGCTCCAAAATGGCGATCGTTATACTTACATCAATGAAACTTTGCAGACATATGTATCCATATACGTGACAACTGTTTAACAAGTTTGGTAAAATTCGAATATGTCAGCGCAAAGTTATCGCCAAAAATGATGAATTTACTATGGATTACGTAATAGCGCGTCCAATGCGCGCAATACATTGCGCGCAGTTAACAATGGTGTCAAAGTGACCGCAATGAAGTGCCCTTTCGGATGATACCAAGTATTATATATGTTCACACAGAAAATTGTGAGTAAATCGCATTTGAACAAAGATCACTACACGAATTCCGCCGAGGTCCCGCCCGAACCTAACACGTTTCGGCTATGACGTCATTTTTTCAGACTGCTTTTCGCCCCTTAAAAGTCCTTTTTTTTCCTTGAAATTTTGCAGTGACATGCCGAGTTCCAATACGCAGGGCACCACTTGGCCGGATTTTTGAAATTGGTCAAGGGGGCCATTTAAGACGCCATTTTGTCCTATACATCTATTTTACATCACGTGTTTCGATAGGATTATCATAGAAAAAAAGAGAGTGGTTTACAATAACAACCATGAAATTCTCTTTCTAATGATACCAAATACGGCCCATAAAGAGACGTAAAGAGAGAGAGAAAAAACAATTTAACTCCGGCCATAATACAGATCCTGCACGTTTTCCGCCCATTCATTACACGCATTGTCTATGGGGCATATCGGGTTCACGCTTTTGGCCCCCAGAACGAACTTGATTGCAATGTCAAACATGCACCAAATCCCATTGGTTTGTGCACGCAGTGCTGGCAAGCCCTTTCTAGGTTCTTTCCCCTATCCCAATTTCTTTCAAACTTCGTAGGCATAGTACCATCCCATCAAGGTCACTGTTGATGCCTTTCTTTCGCCCTACCTATCTCCAATATCACAGAAGCTACAGACTTCGTGCTAGTCCGAGAGAAGCTCTTTCGTTTGACACGTAGAAACACGGCGTCATTGCACGCACATCGTTCTGACACGATTGCATTTCTAGTCTTCCTCTTTGCAATGACGAACCTTCGTCATTGCCTTGTTTTCGTTCACATTCTGCCCCATTAATATTCTCCTTAGTATATTCCTTATCGTCCGGAAATCACATTCGTTTTGCACGTAGTGCTTGTTATTCCCAGTTAGGTGCCTTCATCAT